CCTTCGGCCTCCCTCTTCCTCCTTGCCCAAACACGCAGGTAAAGAAGGAGATGGCCCCTCCTTGCCCTCCTCTGTAACTCGCCAAAATTAATTTTCTTTTTTCCTACCGCCGGCTGGCCGAGCCGAGCGCTCCCAGCAGCAGCCACGGAGCAGAAGAAGGAGCAAACAGCCCCCGGGCGCTGGCCCTGGGGGTCCCAACCCCGCTGGGGGCTGGAAACCTCTCGGGAATTGATTTATGGCGGCATTAAAGCGAGGAGGGGAGGCTGAGCAACACCCCGCACCCTCTCCTCCATCAGCAGCAAGCAAGCAGCCCCGGCTTGCCCCCCCCCCGAGGAACCGCATCACTCCCAGCTCCGTCGCAGAGGGGAATCCTGATCTCACCCCTAATATTTCACGTAGTTTCTAACCCCCTGGGGCTAACATTCATTTTGCAACTGGGGCCCAAAGCTGCGCTCCCCAGCTCTCCCCCGCTGCCGCCCGGTTGCCAATAAATGGGAGGGGGGGGGTGGCTAATAAATGGGGATCACAAACGTTGGAACAGGCACGGTCCCCTCCCGGCACGGCTGCTGCCCTCCCCTCCTGCCTACCTGCCACCATGAGGAGCGGGGCCAGCACCAAGGGGACGTGGGGACGTGGGTGGCCGGGTGACATCCCCCTTCGCTTCGACGCTGTGAGCTCGACGCCCTTGATCTCAGCTGAGTGAACATGCAAATCTTGCCCACATAGAGCAACGCACTTTCCCAGGGGAGTGGCGAGGCGAGGACATCACGGGGACACCACGGGGACGGCGCCGAGCCCCCGTGGCCCAGCCATGGCGTTGGGGTTGGTGGGATCTCTCCCCTCCCGTGCTGCACCAAGGGTTTGGTGTTGGTCCCCGAAGCTCCCGGGTTGATCCCCAAAGCTCCCAAGCTGGTCCCCGTTGCCCAGCCCTTGTTTCTCCCCCGGGAACCAGGGGAAATCAATAAAGGAAGGAGCTGGATGCTGCCGGTTGGGTAAATAACACCAGCTGGGCTGGCAGCCGGCATGCAGCCCAGCACACCCAGGACAAGGACGAACCCTTGGTCCCCACCACGGGGCCAAGCTGGGGTGGCTGCCCCTCCCCTGGAGGGTTTGCCTGGCTTTAAATCCAGGGGAGAAAGTCCCTGTTGGCTTGGAAATGTCCTGGTTGGGCTCCCAGAGCCCGGGATGTCCCGTCCCCTGCACCTGGGATGCTCCTGTCCCCAGCGCCCAGGATGTCCCTGTTCCCCAGTGTCCAGGATGCTCCTGTCCCCAGTGTCCGGGATGTCCTGTCCCCAGCACCTGGGATGTCCCATCCCCAGTGCCCAGGATGTCCCATCCCCAGTGCCCTGGATGTCCCATCCCCAGT